CACACACACACACACACACACACACACACACACACACACACACACACACACACACACACACACACACACACTTACACACGCGCGCACCCTCTCTCTCTCTGTCACACACACACAAACACAAGTGCAGCCTCTCTCTCGCTCTCTCGCGCGCGCGCATGTGCACAAGTGCGCATGATAGAGGGAGCGCACGTGCATCAGCGCATGTTTTTTTTTTTTTCAATCAATCAATCAATCAAAATCTTTTTCTTTTTTTTCATGCTAAAAAGAAAGTTCTTTGGGGGAGGTACCCCCCGACACCCGCACCCCCACCAGGCCTTCAGCTTCCCCAGGGGCCCCCTGAGAAGGCCCCGAAGGTGGGCACCGAAGGCTGTAAGGACGGCCCGTATCACTGCTGGGGGGGCTGTACGGATGGATGTCCGGGGGTACGGACAGCCCGTCCCGGTACGTGAGGCGGACACTGAGTCAACTGCAGCTACTAATAGCTGCTGCAGTGCCTCGGCCATCAGATTGTTCAAGAAGCGCTGCTGGTTGCTTGTGCAATCATGCAACCTGGAGAGAGGGAGGCGTTGGGGAAGAAGCCATAGCTAGGGTTCGGGGGAGGAAGACAGCGGCAATAGCCGCAGAGGTCCCAAGTGACCTGCCACAGAGACATTCAGGGTGGAACATAGGTTAGGGAGGGAGAGCCTCAGCGAGTCAGAGAGGCAGAGAGATACAAGACGAGAGAGAGAGAGAGAGAGAGAGAGAGAGAGAGAGAGAGAGAGAGAGAGAGAGAGAGAGAGAGAACGGGGGGGGGAGGGAGTTGTGGACATACCTGCGCTGGGTTGTAGTTGCTGAGTTGTGGCCACGGTCGCTGGACACTTGAAATCTCCAATTGTACTGTATCACATTTTTGAGTGGAAATTCATCAGCCGCTGGTGTGAACTTTCATGTGAGTGCTCTCATCTTGCATGTTCGAGTTGGGTGGAAATCACGAGGTTGATTGCAACCAAGTTTGCCAACTTACTTTGCTCATGCATGTGCAAACTGTTTTCAATTATCAGAATACAGGAGCACTGGCAGAGGAGCAGCTGGGAGGGTGGATATAGAAGCTGGCTGTGTCATTCTGGAAGTGCCTCGTTCATTGCTCATCTATTCAGATACAGTGCTACATTCAGAACTGGTATGGTCATCCTACTTGGCTGTTGTGGAAATGCACTGATGGAGCTTTTGATGCAAGCATCCATGAACATTCCCAAAGTCCAAAGCATCTCTTGCATAACAAGTCCCACTGATACTTGCAGGGGGTTTCAGTTGTCGCCCAATGACTCCAGAAGAACTGCAGCTTGCAGGGTCCAGAACCGTTGTCAGGTTGACTGACATTGTAACATACTGGCTTCACGGACAAATGGAGCAACAGACGAACAGAGACATGCAGATCGATGGTAGACAAGATGCACATATGGCTGAGAGATTAACAGAGTGACTGGCTGACTGACTCAGACAAGCAGACAGATGATAGACATGCATGAATAGATAGGCTGACGGACTGACAGGTTGACAGAGTGAGAGATTGACAGAGTGAGAGATTGACAGAGTGAGAGATTGGCAGAGTGAGAGATTGACAGATTCACTGATAGAAGACTAGCTCCAGGTTACAGATGGGTGGGCAGGGAAAACCAGATGGAAAATATGCGAAGCATGGAAAGCTTGACAAGATGACTGGCAGAGTCACTGAGGCAAGCAGACAGATGATATACTGAGGCAGAAACAGCCGGGAAGGAGGGCAGGTGGGCACACTTTCCTGTGATCCCCTGCTAGGGCACACCATCTCTTCCTCCACCGTAGCCCACTTCTTATACTGTCACTGTCATCAGGGATGCAGAAGGAAACAGGCTGTTGCTGCTGATACGCCTTCTGATGCAGGGTCAAGAAAAAAACTACTTGCATTATTTATGGGCAGAGGATAGACAGACGGACCAACAAATGGACCAACAGATTGGCACACTGACAGATAAAGAGGCAGGCAAACTGGCAGATCAGAAGACACGCTAACAGGAAGATACGTGGTCATGCACACACCTAGAGAGAGAAAAAGATGGACATAAGGACAGATTGAAAGACTGACGAACTAATACACAGACCAAACAGACAAAATTATTGGGAGGCGCACTATCTCCATTGATTCTTCATGTTCTCCCAGTCTGATATGGTCCTACCCCCGTCATGTACCCCTTCCTCCTGTTGCTGATGCTGACAGGTCGTTGCTGATCACTGAATTTTTTATCCAGGGGCGCTAAGAACAAGTTGCATTATTGGCATTGTGGCTGTTCTGAAGGGAAAAAGAATGGAAACATTTGTTTCCCATCCACATTCAACACTAACGCCCAGTGCCCCCTGCCTGTCTGTTTTCCTTTCCTGTGTCTGTCAGTTTGTCAGTCCGTCTGTCTGTCTGCCTCTCTCTCTCTCTCTCTCTCTCTCTCTCTCTCTCTCTCTCTCTCTCTCTCTCTCTCTCTCTCTCTCTCTCTCTCT